AGTAGGAACAATAGGATCATTATAAGTGTTAGTCTTTTCTTCAACTTTAATAGGTGCAGCTACTTTTACTTCTATGGGAGGATGATATTTAAACCACTTCTCCTTGGGGAGATCAACATAAGTAGCAAAAGATTCATAGAAAGAAGCTACTATCTCAGAGTCAAGTCCATATTTAGTGCTAAACTTATGGAAAACATCGGTATCCATAAAAGATTTAACACAATCAAACTTAGGTGTCATACCTGACTCCTTACCTTCGTCGAGGTCCCAATCTTCAGAGCTGCGTTTAATTCTTTCCAATAAATTCCATTTGAATTCAATAGTCTTCATCATAAAAGAGCCAGCACAAGAAGTATCGAGCATGGTGCGATTGTTATCAGAAAGTCGAGCATAAATTTTCTGAATAATCATTTCTCTTGAGAGCTCATGATTGGGGCATGAATATAACATTGATTTAAGCCTCCCCCAAGCTTGAGCGATGCTTTATCCTTCGCGAGGCCAAAAATTATATATATATATATATATATATATATATATATGTATATATATATATATATATATAATTGGGATCACGATGAACAAGATGCATAGGATAAAATTTCTGATGAAATTCCAATTTCAATCGTTTGTAATTCCAAGACCCCATATCATCACATAGCCTATACCATGTCGATGCATCTCCCTTCAAAGATAAAGGGAAGACCTTCTTCTTAACAACATCTCCGGGTACACCTGCAAGCTTAAATAATCCACAAACTTCATCCACATATGTTAGATGCTCATCAGGATGCTTTGTTCCATCTCCTACAAAAGGATTAGCTAGCAGTTTTTCTATCATACCCGAAGGAATTTCAAAGTAGACATTTTCATTTTCAGTAGGTTCAGTAGGTTGAGGAGCAACTCTTTGCTCTACTAGTCGGGGTGAAGATACCCTGAACAAGCCCCTCAGAGGATTACTTTCCATAGTAACAAGTGACAGTAAATTTCAGCACACTATATAAATTTTTTCTTACCAAATTCCACCTACCAAAGGCGCTCCACTCCCCGGCAACGGCGCTAGAAAAGAGTCTTGATGACCCACAAGTATAGGGGATCTATCGTAGTCCTTTTGATAAGTAAGAGTGTCAAACCCAACGAGGAGCAGAAGGAAATGATAAGCGGTTTCCAGCAAGGTATTCTCTGCAAATACTAAAATAAGTGGTAACAGATAGTTTTGTGATAAGATAATTTGTAACGAGCAACAAGTAACAAAAGTAAATAAAGTGCAGCAAGGTGGCCCAATCCTTTTTGTAGCAAAGGACAAGCCTGGGCAAACTCTTATATAGAGAAAAGCGCTCCCGAGGACACATGGGAATATCGTCAAGCTAGTTTTCATCATGTTCATAAGATTCGCGTTCGGTACTTTGATAATCAGATATGTGGGTGGACCGGTGCTTGGGCACTGTCCTTACTTGGACAAGCATCCCACTTATGATTAACCTCTATTGCAAGCATCCGCAACTACAACAAAAGTATTAAGGTAAACCTAACCATAGCATGAAACATATGGATCCAAATCAGCCCCTTACGAAGCAACGCATAAACTAGGGTTTAAGTTTCTGTCACTCTAGCAACCCATCATCTACTTATTACTTCCCAATGCCTTCCTCTAGGCCCAAAATAGTCGACGTTCACATAACACCACTAGAGGAGAGACAACATACATCTCATCAAAATATCGAACAGAGACCAAATTCACATGACTACTAATAGCAAGACTTCCCCCATGTCCTCAGGAACAAACGTAACTACTCACAAAGCATATTCATGTTCATAATCAGAGGGGTATTAATATGCATATAGGATCTGAACATATGATCTCCCACCAAATAAACCAACTAGCACCAACTACAAGGAGTAATTAACACTACTAGCAACCCACAGGTACCAATCCCGGACTTGGAGATAGGAATTGGATACAAGAGATGAACTAGGGTTTTGAGAGGAGATGGTGCTTGTGAATATGTTGATGGAGATTGCCCTCTCCCGATGAGAAGAGCATTGGTGATGACGATGGCGATGATTTCCCCCTCCTGGAGGGAAGTTTCCCCGGCAGAACAGCTCCGCTAGAGCCCTAGATTGGTTCCGCCAAGGTTCCGCCTCGTGGCGGCGGAGTTTCGTCCGAGAAGATGGCTTATGATTTTTTTTCTCATTGAAAAGCCTCATATAGTAGAAGATGGCCGTCGGAGGGCCACCAGGGGGCCCACGAGGTAGGGGGCACGCCAAGGGGGGTAGGGCGCGCCCCCACCCTCGTGGGCAGGGTGTGCCCCCCGGTGAACTTCTTCCACTGAGTATTTTTTATATATTCTGAAAACGTCTTCCGTGAAGTTTCGGGACTTTTGGAGCTGTGCAGAATAGGTCTCTAATATTTGCTTCTTTTCCAGCCCAGAATCCCAACTGCCGGCATTCTCCCTCTTTATGGGAACCTTGTAAAATAAGAGATAATAGGCATAAGTATTGTGACATAATGTGTAATAACAACCCATAATGCAATAAATATCGATATAAAAGCATGATGCAAAATGGACGTATCAGTGACCATGTCTTCCTCCATGGCCGGCGGCGGCGGAGGTGGAGTAGGGGTTCCCTGACTGGCTGCGGCCGCCAGGCCGCCAGCGACAGCGAATCGGCCGATGCAACCGCGGCCACCTTCGATTTCGTGGCCACCCAAGATGGGTTAGTCGCCGGGTCGCGTCGCGCCGGCTGCTTCACACCTCCACCACGAGGATTGGCTGTCTATTGCTTCTTCGTCGACGGCGTAGCCGCGACGATGATTGGACGGGTGGGGCAAAACTAGGGCGGCGGCATGCAGGCAAAGGCGGGATTGGGGAAGTTGGTTACGCTGGCGAAGGCCGCGGTAGGGGTGGACGGCTGTGGCGGAGGAGGCAGCGGGATCGTCGGAGTCGGCCATGGCCCGGGCGACTGTTGGCGGCCTAGCCTAAAATGTGCATCACACGATGCAGAGCTTTGGGGCACTACGCGCGGCGGGGACAAGATCCATGCTAAAACTTTTTATAAGTCTACAAGTATGGGGTCTGCTCGATGAAGCTTAATTCATCAAACCAAAAAAGAAAAATCCCTTGTATACAATTTTTGAGGATCTGCTAAAGATGCTTTAAGGGCATTTTTAAGGTGGATCCATAAACCTCCCGCGATCATCTGATCGTGTTGTTCGGACCGCAGAAGTCATCCAACGCCGATCTATATCGGTCCGCGAGGCGATCCGGATGCGATTTGTCCCGCAAATCAGAGACAAAAATGGGGGAGGTTTGCGAAATCCCGGACCGCCCTGGCCCACCAAAATCCTCCTCCTGCGCACGCTCCCGCCTGACGCCAGCTGCCCGCATTCATGCCGTTGTAGTGCGTGCGGCTCCGCATTAAAGACGGCTCAGGGCGGACGCGACCTCTCACTGCCTCCGGCATTGAAGCGGCGCGCTGACCGAGGACGCCGCCCGCTGCACGCTCGGCTAAACACGCCTCCTCGCCTCATTCATACGCCTCCATTAACCCTGCTTGGAAGCCGAGAAACCTACTCCGGCTACATGTCCGTTCAGGAGCGGAACGACATTAAACACAACGCCGGCCGAGCTTCGCCCGTCCGCCTTCTATTTAAACGATGGCACACGCGGGGAAAGAATCACACCCCTCCGCCACTCTCCCCATCTCCTCCTTCACCATTTTATTCACCATTTCGATGGCATCCGACGGGCAGGAAGAGTGGTTCTCCAGCATAAAAGCCAGCATGGTGGCCCGCCGAGCCCGGCAGATACGAGCGAGGCAACTAGCTGCTCCACCTCCCTCCCCTAGGCCAATGGAGCAAGTTGCCGCCACAATCCGGCACATGGTTCAGCAACTCGCCGCTCCAAGCCAGCTCGTGGAGGAGTGTCGGGTTACTCCAGGCCGGCACGGAGGGGAGCACGACGGCACGGGCATGGACGACGTCGCGTCGTACCGCCCCTATAGTGCCTACGACCGTGCCATCCGCCGTCGACGCACGCGTAGTTGCGCCATGCAAACAGAGAAAGAACACGGGTGCGCGAAGAAGATCGATGAGTTGGTGGCCAGCGCTTCCGCGTCCACGTCTGCTGGCAACTTCGAGGAAAAGTAGAACACGGGAGGCCGCCGTTACTTGGGTCCCAGGAAGGGCACCGCCGGCGCGTCGCCGGCTTGTACAACCGGTGACGTGCCCGGTTTCTTCTTTATCTTAGACCACCCTGGCCTGAAGCACCCTCTCTGTCGCACTCCGATGAGCGGTGCAGCCGAACATAGGGAAGATTACGGGGGAAGAATACGCCTCTGGGACTCCCGGCCGTCCGGTGACGAAGGGATCCGCCGTGACCGGTCATATACTAGTGCACTGTATCCGTGTAGTGGGAGTGGAGCTCCGAGCGACCGTATGTGCACATAGTTTTAACTTTTTAGTTAAAATATTTTCAAAAAGTAATCGTTTGCGTCCGGTTTATATGAAATTCGTCATGTTTGTATGAAATCTGATCGAATTTGCATGAAATCCGGCCGTGTTTGAACGTTGGTTTGAATTGTTGGGAAAATGTATGCGGCTATCGTCAGATGGCTGCCTCCCACATCCGTATCCATGAATTGGTCCCCCGTCCGCAAACAGATACGGAAGATTTTTTACGGGTTGCCGAGCTGCGAGTTCAGAAGAAAACGGAAACAGAAAAGTTGCACAACTGGAGTACAAAGATGCCGTTTTGTTGCATCTTCATGCGCCAAAACAGAAGCGCACCGACGGATTATGATAAATTTCTTTTTGAAAGACTGTGCTGCATGACTCACAACAACAATGATTGCTACTAACCTACGCACTCGCAAAAAAAAAACTACTAGTAGTATACTATACAACGACATTCTCCGTAACATGCAATCAGTTCCAGGTTATATTAACATCGCTCTCGGCTCTCGCTCTCGCTCACTCTCGGAGCCGTACAGGCGACGCGGCAATGGAGACTTGGTGGCCGCAATGCGGGCTTCATCTCGCGCTGCTTCTAACTGCGCTGATCCTCTATCGCGCTATCTCATCACGGCGTTATGGTCTCCGACCCCTCCCGCTCCCTCCGGGGCCGCGGGTGCTGCCGTTCGTCGGCAACATCTTCTACACGAGAGACATGACGCACCGAGGCCTGGCACGGCTGTCCGCGCGCTACGGCGGTCTCCTTCACCTCCGCGTTGGCCGCCTGAGCACCGTGGTCGTGTCGACGCCGGAGATGGCCCGTCTGGTGCTCCAGGTGAACGACCGCGCCTTCGCCAACCGCCCCGCCAGCGCGCCCATAGCCTACCTCACCTACGGCCGCGCGGACATGGTGTTCGCGCAGTACGGGCCCTTCTGGCGCGAGATGCGGAAGCTGTGCGTCCACAAGCTCTTCAGCCACCGTCGGGCCAAGTCGTGGGCCGCCGTCCACGACGAGGTCAACGACCTGATCCGCCACGTTGCCAGGTACACTGGCTCCGTCGTCAATCTCGGCGAGCTCGTGTTCAACATGTCGATGAACATCACGCTCCGGGCAGCGCTGGGCATGCGGAACGAGGGTGAGGACGCTGCCGAGTTCGTGGCCATAGTGCAGGAATTCGCCGAGCTGTTCGCGGTGTCCAACTCCACCCTTGCGGACTACGTGCCATGGGTGGCGCGGCTGGATTTGCATGGGATCAACAGGAGGATGGTGGCGGCACGGGCTGCGCTGGACCGGTTCATCGACCGTGCCATCGACGAGCACCTCGCGCACCCGAAGCCGGTCGATGCCGCGGACGCCGACATGGTGGACGGCATGCTGGCTTTCCTCGTGGACATGCCCGGGTCTGCCGACAGGGTGAGCACCGACTCCAGTGCTCATGGTCATGGGTCGACGCTTCGTCTCACCAGGGACAACATCAAGGCCACCATTATGGTAAAGTACAACAGTGGCCGAAATTTACCACTCCACAAATTAAAACTTACATATAGCTATTGTGACAAACTAAATATTTTTTTATCACAATACGCGCAGGATGTGATGATCGGTGGGACAGGACCAGTAGCGATGATAATTGAGTGGTTAATGTCGGAGCTGCTGAGGGACCCGGAGGAAATGAAGCGGGTGCAGAACGAGCTGGCCGTGGTGGTTGGGCTGCACCGCCAGGTCGCGGCGGGCGACCTGGGCGAGCTCCCTTACCTGAGGTGCGCGGTGAAGGAGACCCTCCGCGTGCACCCGCCCGGCCCGCTCCTCCAGCACGAGGCCGCCGAGGACTGCGACGTCGCCGGCTGGCGCATCCCCAAGAACACCCGCGTCCTGATCAACGTGTGGGCGATCGGGCGAGACGCCGAGGCCTGGAAGGACGCCGGGGCGTTCAGGCCGTCCCGGTTCGACGCGGGCGGGGACGAGGCAGAGACGGACTACCGGGGCGGCCACTTCCACCTCCTGCCGTTCGGCGCGGGGCGGAGGTCGTGCCCCGCCATGCAGCTCGGAATGCACGCGGTGGAAATGGCGCTGGCGCGGCTGCTGCATGGCTTCGAGTGGAGCCTGCCGAGCGGGATGGCGCCGGGGGACCTTGACATGGAAGAGGCATACGGCGCCACCGCTCCACGGGCCGTGCGGTTGTGCGCAGTGCCGCTGCCCCGTCTTAGCTGCCCAGTGGTCTAGCAGAGCCGCGCGCGCACAGCTCGTGTTGCCAGATCAGTGCAACTGTGCAAGTAACGTGGTACTCGTCGAATAAATAAAGGACCGTCTATTTTTTTTTTAGCATCAGTACAGACACAAGCGCTCATATACACGCGCATACACTCACCCCTATGAACACACGCACTCACACCCTAACCCTATGAGCACCTCCGAAAGACTGAGCCGCCATATCATCTTGAGATTTACGAAGTCACCGTAGGCGCCTCGTCGTCGACGGGAACGTCTCCTCCCACTGAAAGCGCATCGCCGGAAATCCTGAAATAAATCCAGAAATACTGCGAGCACCAAGATTTGAACCCTGGTGGGTTGGGGATACCACTGTCCATCTAACCAACTCAACCACGGGTTGATTCGCAGGACCGTCTATTCCTGGGTTGCCTCTTTTAGTTCCGTTTATGTTGATTTTGAAAGAAATGCATTCACTTATGCTTCACTTTTGGTGCTACAAAAATAATAATGAATTCTCCCCTTTTCATTGTTGGTGCATTCTTAAAAAGGGGGATCAGTGGGATGTTATTGATGCATATGCTAATATAAGAAGAAAAGGCGTTAATCGCAAAAGAAAGAAGAAAAAGCGTTAAAGGAAAACAAATAATCGCACTATATATTCTAAAATGACCATGTCGGCCATTGTTGTAGTAGATCGCTAGATTTTTCATGGCACGCATTGACGCACATGTTTATTTTTTTACGATAGAATAATATAATTTTTCATATATTTGTGCTTAAATAAAAATGTTGAAAGGTGAATATAAATGTGTTGTTAAAATTACTAAGTAATAGAGTGGTGGTCAATTTTTTTACAATGTCAAATATTCTTGTGACTTTTTTCAAGATATGTGATCAATTGGGCTTTATTGGGCTTTAATGGGCCGCTATTCTTGTGACTTTTTTCAAGACATGTGTTGTTAAAAATCTATGAAGTAATATTTGACATATTCTAGGCTTGCACAGCGGCCCAATAAAGCCCAATTGACCACATGTCTTGAAAAAGGTCACAAGAATAGCGGCCCATTAACACATGCGGACCAGGTCGCGGTAAATTGGAACTGAAACGAACATCTGACGACCAAAAATGATCTAAATGCGAAATTCGACGGACAAAATTGTTGGGGACATGGCAGAGCTCGGTTTAGGTGTAGTTTTACTCTCAAGTTTTAGCATACCTCCCCTTGAGCATAAGAAAACAACGAAAAGGAAAAAGGAAATTCATATATACTACAATGGACATGTCGCACGTTGTTGTAAAAACATTACATACATCCACCTTGAGCATAGGAAAAACCAAACAAAGTTAATCTAGTGAAAAGTAGTGGACTAAAAAATGCACAAAAAATGATGAAAAAGGGGACATGTGCTCTGCTACAGATTCCACTGTCACAAACACACATGAGAAAAAGCATTGTGTAAGAAAGAACAAAACACACTCCTACTTGCACTTTCTCCCCTATATCAGGCAAGTTCTTCTGGCCAATTCTCCTACAATCAGCCCGCTCCCCAGCTTTTTTCAGAATCTTCAACTCCCATCCGAAAATCATAGCCACGAATGGGAGTTGAAGATTCTCCGAGAAGCTGTGAAGGGGGACGATTCTTCCATAATCGAGCGTCATCTGATGAGTTATAACTGCATTCCACTCAGGTACCGTCCAAGCGCAAAATAAAGGCCCATTTGACAAACAAAACAAAAAAGAGCCCATGAAAAAAATCAATAGGCCAAACTCATAGAAAAAAGAACGGGCCGCGCCACACTGTGGCCCGAATCAAAAACAACTTGTCTGAACGAAAACCGCACACACCAATCTAGATCCAACATACAAAGCATTGATTGAGCGAGGGCACAAAAGGGATATATCCCACGAGCTCATTCTGAGTGAAAAAAGAAGATACCTTGATGAAGAAAAATGTAATAGATAGCCCTGGTCTTGCTTTTTCTTTCTGGTCGCATAAATGGAGTTGCTTATTATGTTTGAATTCTATCATAAAACCTCCTATGTGTTGGGAGGATCTGACTCAGCTACTCTAAGCTTAGCTCGAGTGTTGTGAACAGTCATGTTGCTTTTGTGACCTCGTTTTAATAAAAAAAAACTTGATCATTGATGCCACGCATTGTTGCGCCCGTCTATTTGAATGTAAATGGTAAGATTTTTGCAAAATGATGAACATGAGAGCTAACTGTACATATTGGTTAGTGGTCGAAGAGGAGATTTTTGCAATAAAATAGTTTCAAATACGTCACTTTGATGTAAATGACAGCAAAAAGCCAGACATGCTATAATGACACCATCCAAATCATTGCCGAGCATGACAGCACCAAATAGCAATGAAACAAAGGGATCAATTAACTAAAATGTTCCATATGCAGAAAGACAATCGAATAGCCCCCGTTCATATTTGAAGTTGCTGCAAGGGTAGATTTTTTATTAAACTGCAAGGTAGAATTTACAAAGCTACTAACCATCTGGAATAAAAGACCAATGTACAAAAATTGGTAAGAGATTTCATTACACGCATAAATATTATGTGAATTGAGCATCTACACCACGGTCAGATAACACACATCACACGTGCATGTACAACAATACTTATTTGCGCATATGGATCTACCATCCTAAACAACCTCATGTGTATGTATAGGAACAATAATAGCCGGCAGTAGCTTGTCATGAATAATTACAAACAAATAAGCATGGAAAATATGCAATCATATGAACACACTGGATATGGAAAATTAATATGACATTCCACTAACTAAACCGCTAGCAGCCATTGGGATCCCAGGTTTCAGAATTCAGGAACAAAAAAAATCCAAAGACACCTCAAGAAATTTGTTAAACAAGCCTGAAGCATTCCCGAACACTTGGGCATCAATAACTGCAACAAATTAAGAGCAGAAATCTGCATCAGTACAAATATTGAGTGCGAAGGCATTGTAGTGGGGAAGGGAAATATGCAACAAAGTTGAAGATAAAGGGGCGAACTATCGGAGAAACATAGCTCCTGGATGCTACTGCGTTACTGCCAAAGGAAGAAGAGAGGAGAACCTGGGTATTGACACAGAGCATATGTAGGTAACTAGCAACATCACATTCTGTGCAACCCCAAGTAGCTCTGCAAATATAGCGAAAACAACACACATAAACTGGAATTCACTCAAACCTGTCAAACCTGGGGGACATGGCAAACTTTGAAGAATGCACGAACGATACGCGGAGATATATAAGCGCGAGGCTAGGGTAGCCGGGGCGCCCTCACCTTTCCATACCTTTGCGAAGCGGTCGATTAAGCAGACAACCGTTGGCATCGAACTCTACCACTGTTTGATCCCCTCACGCTGGATTCCCTCGCGAGCGGCACGCGTAGGCTGGATCCCACCGCAGGTCGTCCACTTTGCCTGAATTGAGCGCCCGCCCCATCCGTCCCCTTTCGACCGCACGACGCATCCTCTTGGCCGCCTCCAATTCGTTCCTATGTCGAGCGATCACATCCTCATGTTGGGCCGGCCCTTTTCACATTTTTTTCTATTTTCTAACCTGAAGTGCAAAAAATGCTTCTAGCTGGGGCCCGAACCTCCAGCGCAAGTGTTGAGGGGACAATGGGATAACCCCCTGACAAATCACTCAGTGTGATTACATATATGTTTTTCCGTTATTTCATCTTTCTTCCCTTTCTATTCTCTTATTTTTTATTTTTTTCACTGTCCTTTTTTCTTTCTTTTCTCAAATTCATAAAGTTTTTCTTCAAATAGATGAACTTGTTCAAAATTGATGAACTTATTTTCAACTTTATGAACCTTTTTTCAAATTTGATGAATATTCCTTTTAAATCGATGAACCTTTTTCAAATTTGATGAACTCTTTCAAATTCTATGAACATTTTCCCGAAATTGATGAACTTTATTTCAAATTTGATGATTTTTTTGCTTTTTGTGAACTTCTTCAAAATCGATAAACTTTTTTATCAAAATTCATGATCTTTTTTCAAAGTCATCGAACTTTTTCCAATTCTGTGAACTATTTTAAAAATTGATGAGTTGTTTTCAAAACCGGTGAACTTTTCTCCAAATCAATGAACCTTTTTTGAATTTTGATGAACTTTTTTTCAAATTTGTGAATTTTTTCCCAAGATTTGTGAACAATTTTTCAAATGGATATTTTTTTTCAAAATCGATGGAATTTTTCTCAAAATCATGAATTTCTTTCAAAATTAAAATTCGGTTAATCTTTTTCAAAACCAATGAACTTTTCTGTAATTCATGAAATTTTTCCAAAATATTTTCAAATAATTTATAATCAAGGTGCTACAGTAGACATGTATATGTGTAATAAATTGCATGGCTACAAATGTACTTAAAAAATTCGCCCTGGAATTGGTCAGTAGCATGTTGTAGGTCATGTGGTTAGCCATACTCATTCGTTGTTATCACGGTGCGAGTTTGATCCTCAAGGAGAACCATTTTTGGGTTGTTTTTTCGCTTTTCGCGCTACCCATAAACTAGTTGCATCGATTGATTTTTTGTTGGGCCGCCCAGTCGCATCGCCTTCGGGCGCCAGTACGAGGAACATGCATTGAGAGCACCGGTTAGGAGCGCCCGCTGATTCTTTACTATGTCGAACGGGAGCGAATGTATGAGAGGGCTTTTGCTGCCTAGGGCCGAGCAGAAAAACTAGCCCAGTTAACCACAGGAGTCCAAAATAGCTACGGGGAGTAGCTGCCCTTTGCGACATTAGGCCCAATTTGTGACTAGCTTGGCGCTAACTTTAGATTGGATGGTTAGAAACGTTTGACAAATGAAATCAAACGGCTAAAAATGTCTACTTCATGAGAACAGTAGGGGTTAGGCTCAACGGAGATCAAACGTCCATGATTAGTTAGATCATAAAAACGGTGGTCTTCGAATGCTAGTAGCCTAAGAAGGTTAGGAGGGTGCTCAGTTCTAATGTCTCTAAATAAATGAGATAGGG